TTTTTTTGTATAAGTAAGGGATGCTGTTAAACTATCTTGCTGAAATGGTAAAGATTTTGGGTATTTGAAGAACTAATTAAATGAATAATTTTTATTAACACGGAGGAGATGGATTGTTTAAGTTTAGAGTTTGGAGTTAGAGATATTAATATTTGTTTACTTGTATTTGAATATTAGCCTAGGTTTGGTTTGGGAAGTCTGGGGGGTGGGGGGATGGGATAAAACATTGTGTAATACCTGTGATGTATTTCTTTTTTCTTTTATGATAAAAACAATAAAATTTTATATTGAAAAAAAAAAAAAAATAATAATAATTGGGAAATGGTCCTGTATGTAAGCATTTGCTTGAGTGACAGCACTAATGCACAGTTATCTCATTTGATTCCTGAATCAACCTATTTTAACAATCTAAGACTGGTCTTTAAAAAGTATGAATGACAAAAATATCAACCAAGTTGCAACTAACAATTCAGTTATTAGAGCTTTAGCTGAACTAGTTATGTTTACAGCATAAAAAACATTTCTGCCAAAGAAAGATGGCCTGTATAAAAAAAGGTTGCTTAATAGGGAGGTGGGGGTTATTGATTTTTTATTATTTGTATAATTATTTGTATATTTTGAAGTTGCCCAGAGTGAATGAGAGTGAGCAAATGGCTATATAATATTTTTAAATAAATAAATGACCCTAAGTCAGTGGTGGCGAACCTATGGCATGGGTGCGAGGCGGCACTCAGAGCCCTCTCTGTGGGCACGCACGCTGTCACCCCAGTCCTAGGCCTTCAGCTGGGTTTTATAAAACCTTTTTGCTTTAGGCCTCCACCGCTGTGTACAAAAAAAAAAAAAAGGTTCAATCAGTCAATTTCAACTTGCGGGAAAAAAAAAAATCTGGCAAAGTTGGAATTGATTGATTGAACTTTTTAGTCCAACCCAGTCTGCTGTTACCACTGCAGCCACGCCCACCCAATGGGCCACACCCACCCGGCACCCGATGATGCATAATTGGGTTTTGGGTTGCAGTTTGGGCACTCGGTCTCTAAAAGGTTCGCATCACTGTCCTAAGTTAAACATACACTGCTTCGTTTATACACCCAGCATTAAGACTGATAATGTACTGGTACAAATTTGTTTGGGAGCCGGTCCACTAATTTCAATGCATGAAGTGATACTGCATATAATTGTCCAAGGCAAAGTAATTATTTTAAGTTCTGTGCACATTTACTGTAGTCAGTATGTTGTACATTGAAAATGATTAGTAAGCTGTGCTTCAGACTTTGCATTAATATGAACCCAACTACTTTAAAAGTGACTTGGTCAATGGTTTAAAGCAGCAACATGGAAGGGAGGTGGTTGGATGGAAGAGCACACAGCCCTATTACTGATTTGGCCTCATTTCCATGTAAACATGTATATAACTGCAGCTTTATTGACCTTTGAAAGCCACAATTAAATTGCATTTTATAATCAAGTGGTAGAAGAATTATATGGATTTTATTCCCTTATCTAACCTAGCTTTCACAAGACCACAAAAGGCGTAAATATTTGAAGCAAGATATAACCTGTACCCACCTGCACCCACCTTTGACCCAAAAAACAAATTGTATGGTATATGGGTGTGTATGTGCATCACTCTCACTCTCCCTCTCCCCCCCCCCACACACTGAACAGTAAAGCAGTCTACCAAATAAGCCACTTTTTTAAAGGAACTACTGTAGTTGATTTTAGCTACAAATAGCCTTCAGTTTGCTCTCATCAGTATTATTTGATTCACCTCCACAAAACTATCAGGTTACTTACCAATCTCTGCCTTTAATACTCAAGCTGTGTATGGAATATTGGTCTTATTATTTTTACTATCATTTTGGGAGCACATAAATTCCCCAAGTAGAGACGGAGGCTCTGCATTGTGCAGGAGCACAAACTTAACATCTAACAGTAAAACCTGAAAGCAGAAAAAGATATAGCAGATACAGGTATTGCAGGTAAGCACTACATTTGCCCTAATGCTTTGTATACCAGCTTACTTTTGTCTTCTTTCCTGGACAGATGGGCCCAGTTCTTAAGAATGAGACTGTAATAAACAGTTACTTTTCTTTCTTCAACGCTCAGAAGCAGTTTAAGGTAGGAGCTCCTGCTTTACTTTGTAGAAAGCAAGTTTCATACTTATTTTCATTAATCAGGTGAGTCAGAACCACTCATAAAGGGGCACATGTGACCCCTTAATGTTGTTAAACTGCAACAGTCCATTTAAATATGATTACAAATATAAGAAAAATCTATTGATTTCCTTTCTTTCTCTGAGCACAACTGTCATTTCAAACCACCTTCAACAAATAAAAACGCAGACAAATAATTTGCACAAACTTGCATATGTTGTAGACTTTTGTTCCTTTTTGACCAGGGGATGTCTAAACAGGTTCTCATATGAAGAATGTTTGATATCCCTAAAATAATATACTTCCCTCTTAGTGGCTGTTTTGGAGGGCATGCAGTACAATATCAACAGGGCGCAAATCAGCTGTTTAGCCAAAACTATAATGGAATATTAGATTGGACTGTGGAAGCAAGTTGAAAAGTTCTATTCACCCATTTCCCTAAAATCACCTCTAATCATTACTGGTTTCATTTTATAACAAGATGGTTAAAGTGAAGAAAACAGAAAACCTATTATTGCGACTTGAGTGTTTATTTTTATTTTGCAATAGTTTCCAGGCCAAGGTTAGCAATAAAGGACATCATGCTAATATAAATGAAAATAATTCTGAAAAGGCAATTTTTAAAAATAAGTTTCCTTCCATTCTGCAAAAAGGTATTATTTTTTTTCTCGTGAAATTCCTTTTTAAAAATCATATATTACATTACTAAAAATCAGTATGTGTAATTTGGAAAGAATTTGTACATGTAATTTTGCCTTAGAATTGTTGTAACATATACAATTTAAAATTACTAACAGTAACCATGAATTTTACAACTAATATCCTAAAATAATTATCCTTTTTGCATTTATACCAGAATGAAAAATAACCACTGTAAATGAAATGGCAATGTTACTGTGATATGGAAAACTGGTTTAAAATCTAGATCCGTATCCAATTGATATGCACACACTACTACCAAGGCAGTCAAACCCGGTAGTTAACAGTTAAATGGGTTAATATGCACTATATTATACACAGATATATTTATTTTTTTGGAGGAAAAAAGGAAACATTTGGCATTTAAACACATTCATGTATTACAAAACAAATAAACCAGTTAAACTGAAACAAGGAAACAGGGCAAATATTTTAGAATCAATGAACCACGTATCATCTCAGGTTTGTAAATAAAGGCAAAAGGAGTCCGTAGCATGCCGTCTTTTGTCTACAGATGGGAAGAAGTAGAGAAGCAAAGCTTCAAGGTATACGGGTTAGAGCCATCTGTAAAATGCAAAAGGAAACTCAAGAGTTAGAAAAAAAATTTTACTCTTTAAAACAGCATGCTCGATTAAGATTATATTTTTTTAAGTACAAGTGATACAAATTGAGATGGAAAAATAGCAAACTACTGTGAGCTTATTTTCTATAAACACAGTTTTATAGAAATATGGCATTTTTTTTTTACTCTACAGAGAGCAATATACCTGCATTTCCTGACAACTACATTTCTCTCACAGAAATATCACATGAATACAACATTCAAAATGCAGTATCTTCTTGCTGGGAAAATACAATATTTTAGTTTGCAAATAAAACCACAACTGCTGTTAGGACAGTTGCATGGGGTAGATCAGTTTTTTTCTAAGTTTTAAGTCTTCGAAATAGGCAATGTCATAGGTTTAAACAGTGGGTCACAATTCCTTAGTGGTCTGTGAGAAAATCAGAAGGAAGTCACAACTGTGGGAGAGCTTGTACATCAAAGCTAAATCACTGCCTAGACATGCTGGCTCGCCCAAACACAACTGAGAGCAAGCGTAGCAGGCAGTCCGATACCTTACACAGGCAAAGAGAATCATTGGCAGTACTTGTTTCTGCTCTGCCTGGACAGCTATTAATTAGCTCTTTCAAGAAAACTGGATTGTTTATTTCTAATTAAAAGATAGTATTTTATAAATTGCAAGATTCTAACATGGTTTTGTTTGATATATAGATCAACATGGAATTAGTAAAAATAAATAGTATACCTACTTTCTGCTGAACACTAATCCAATTAATTTTTTTTCTGAGGTGGGGGAACAGAAATTAATTTGCCATTTACATCACCAGTTTGAAAATTACTGGACTATATCACAGAACTAGATTATTCTTTCACAGTCAACCTAATCCTTTACTACATAGGAGCAAAATTTGTTGTTTGCCTCTGCTTTAAACTTGGATGTATAGTAGTGGCCAAAATTGTGGAAACATTTTGGAAAAAGTGTATTTTTGAGGTTTGATGGCTAATAACACCACTTTTTTTTAGTAGTACCATAAAATTATATATCAATGGAAAGATAATTTAATCAAGAATGTAATGCAACAAAGTTTGTTCTATTAGCTGTACTGTATTCTATGAAAAGTTATAGCCAAATAACCAGAAAAAGGAAGCACAACTTGCTTAGGTTGATATCAGGTAGCTTTCCTTCATCTGATTGTAGCCAATGAGCCTGAGTGTTTAGAGAGCCAATCAGGTGTCATCTTGTTTTGGCAATGAGCCAATCAGATCACAGTAGGATTCAGTTACTGATGTCATGTATTGAAGCTGAGAGGAGGACATTTGGCAATGTGTTATGTGATCGCTATCAAGCTGGTTGGGTTTTTTTGTGTTCTTTCATTTAGTGAGCTTGTAAAACGTAATAAAATTAAAGTAATGGTGCAAAGAGTTGACTAGTTGTCCAGAAAGCAATGTAAAATAGTATTATTAAGTGACAAGGCTACAGTTATAAAGAAATTAGAAGAAAAATTGGTGGAAACTTAACCAAAGGTGGCATTTCTACTGTACACTTTTCCCAAAAGGTTTCCACAATTTTGGCCACTACTGTAGGTATAAGCATCTTTATCACTGTTGATGATACTATCTTAACAGTTACAATTCTATATATATTTATCTAACACAAACACTATGCAAGTATGTGTGTGTATATTTATTTCTAATGCACTTACATAATTATTAAAATAATTCACAACATTGTTTTACCATAATTGCTAAAACAAATAGTATCATTATCGTAATTGCTAAAGCAAACTTCTCTAGCTACTGGATATTTAACATGCTTTCTTAACTATTTTAAAAGACAGCTTTTCAGGTATGCTGAGGATTTGTAGCACTGTTTTTCAAATATAAACACACTAGCTGTACCCAGCCACGCGTTGCTGTGGCTCAGTCTGGTAAAAGCGTGTGTTGCTTTTACGTCCAACAGATGGCACTGTTTTTCAAAAAAAGCATGTTTTTACCTGTCACACGTGTGACATCTATATAATATAGGTATATAAAAACACGCGTGTATTCGAATGCAACGTTGTGTCAAAATTTCAAAGCAATCGGTGAAGAACTTTCGGAGATTTAAGATTTTGAACAAATGAACATTTACATTTTTATTTATATAGATATAGATAGAGAAAACCTCTGACCATAATGGAACAAAATTACTGTCCTCTCCCAAGAAAGTCCATCTAGCAGGACCAAAAATGGCCTTCTCTGTGGTGGCTCTGTAACATCACCCTTGGGGAGATAAAGTTGGTCACCACTTTGACACTCTTTTGAAAGGCCCGAAGATGTGGTTCTGCCAAGAGGCCTGGGGGCCAAAGAGTAATATGGAGCACGTCAAGTGGCAGGCTTGATTGTTGTTGTTTCTATATTGTTTTTGTACTGGGGTTTTACCTTTGTAAGATGCTGGGAGTCACTTGGAATTAGTTGGGTGACCATATAAATTGTCATCAATGAATCAATCACTCAATTAATCAATCAATCAAATAGATTAAAATGCAGTAGGCCCAAAGGCATTATGAATGTAATTTCTGCAAATTATACTTCCCAGCCCAACATTATCTAATTAATAAAAAACAATAACATCCCCAGCAAACATGATGTGAAGATTATTTCACAGTGATACTTACTAGGCACTCTTATCTGGTAGTGATTGAGTACTGTAAGAGCTTCCACTGCATCTGTCTTGCATTCCCATTCCAAGAGACCAGAAAGTGTTTTAGCTGATGCTGGAAAAACAAGAGTTAAAATGTTTTGTTTTGCTTTATTTTTCTCTGTCCGGAATCATTTGCCTAGTTTTTTTTTTAATATTTTTTTAAAAAATGCAAAGTTAAATTGTTTTCTATCACATTAAAGGCATATTTAATCCAACAATACCCCCAAAAAACTGCCCATGAGAACACCATAAGCACACCCAATCATGGCTAATATCCACTGATGCTGTTCTCCTTCAAGTAATATTTACTTACGTTTTGGATCAAATACTTTATATTTGATAAAAGATAGGACTTCATGATCATCACACAACTATAACAAAACAAAACACAAGAAAACAAAAATATATTTGCTAAGCAGCAAGACTCAATGCTAGAGTAATTCAAAGATACATCATTATGAAGTACTTCCATTAAATATCCTGGCTGCCCTAGATTAAGATAACAAATATTGAATGATTACAATGTGGCAGGGTACAAATTTGATACATGAAAAATAACTTCAGGTAATCCTTGCTTAATAACCACTCAAAGTTACAGAAGCATTGGGTCTGAAATAGAGGTCTGGTAGTAGCAGCAGAAGCAGCAGCAGCTGGCTGAAAGTACTGAAGCAGAGTAGTGCTGTACCGGGTAGCCTAAACGGCAGAGATGAAGGGAGATAGGTGGGGGAGTTGAAGAGGGTACAGTCCCTAAACTTCAAGTGGGGATTTATGACAAAGTAGACATCCCTGAAGGACTGGGGAATAGTACTGCAGTCAGATTGATAGCTAGAGGGTGGATTCCAGATGACAAAACCATTCCCAAAAAAGGAGAGATCATGACAGCCGCTCCTTGAGAGCAGACAGCAGAAACCACAATTTTTGCAGTCAGCTTGTGAGTTGAGTGACTGAAAGTCGAGGGATTTCAATCAAGGTCACAACCCCTAATGTAGCTAGTAACACAAAGTTTGTCAAGCTTCATTTCTTTATCATTTCTACAACTATCGAATTGCTCTTCAATTATCAGAAACCCTCAGAGAGGCAAATTTTACAGCACTCACCAAGTGAGCTTCCTTCAATCCTTAGCAAAAGAAGTTTTAAATACAAGATTAAGGACTTTAAAAAAAATGTTTGGAACAAACAGCAAAATGGTGAATAGAATGTTCATTTTGGGAAGTGGTAAATGAATTAAGAGTGCAGATGGATAAGAAATATGATTTTGACAATAATTATAATAATCCTTCCCATGGGAAAATGTCATTGCTTTGAATTCCCCCCAAAAATCAGACTTTGAAGGTTGAATGCTGGATAGAACAAAAAGAAACTAAAGCTTATAATTAAAGGAAGCTATTTAAATTTGATTACTAATACAGAATGCAGCAAAATACTTTAATTGTATATTTTAAAGTATAAAGGCATATTGAACGATATTTGTGAACAATGGACTCAGAAATTAATTTTAAGCATATCTGTCATTATAGACTGTCCTTAAAAGATGTTATGGAAGAACATGTTTTACCAGATAAAACTGAGACTGATAGGAAAGTGGATTTAAAATTGACAGACTACAAAAAGATATGTAAAAAGATGTTATACTGGATATACAAATGAAACCAGCTGTCTTAATAATTAAAAGGATTATACAAATAGCAAACTAAAAAATGACTTGGATAATTTTCCTATTTTGGATTTACAAAAGAGACCTGTTAAACGTTTGAAGGATTTTGTGAGAAAAGACAAAGAAAAAATGAAAAGAAACTGAGGATATTATTTAAAGGAATTAAAGAGCAAGATTATTATATGGAAAAGGAAGGAATATAAAATTAGTTTATCTGATCAAGATTAAAATAGTTATGTTGTTATCTCTGGTAACCCTTAATAGGCTTTTGCTGATCAGAACTGAATAATGAACCTTTAAGCACCTTTAGACATTTGTCTCTAGATAAGAGATGAGATAGGGAAAGAAGAGATCATTTGTTGTATTTTAACAGAAGGTAATAAGTTATTAAAAATATTTATACTATTAGTATAATCAAGTGAGAAAACATTTTGTGTCTTTGCACTTTTTATTTGTTCCTTATTTTCTCTAATTTTCTCTGAATTTAGTTTATATTTGCTTTTACTAATGTAATTGAAATTTTCTATTAAAAATATTATATAAAAAGAGGGTGCATTCTTTTATTTTACCAAGGTTCAGGGCTGAGAGGGACTAAGCTGGGAATGACTTGGATCAGGGTGAGCCCTTGCCTAATGACCTCTGGGATTCACTTCACAATGCCAATGGGTACTGCTGGGATTGGTCATTAAGCAGTGTGGTCACCTGACATTGCACTTTACAACTGCCTTAATTAGCAATGGAATTCCTATCCCAATTACTATAATACCAAGAATTATCTGTAATGACTGAGCAAAAAAATGCGGGTTAGACAGCATCACCACCAGATGGATCCGTATCTGGCTGACTGGCCGTACTCAGCGAGTGGTCCTCAATGGAACCGCGTCTACATGTAGGGAAGTGTGTAGTGGGGTGTCCCAGGGCTCTGTTCTGGGCCCAGTGCTTTTCAACATCTTTATCAACGATTTGGACGAGATAGATGGGGAACTCATCAAATTTGCAGACAACACCAAGCTGGCAGGAATAGCCAACACTCCAGAAGACAGGCTTAGGATACAGGAGGATCTGGACAGACTTGAACACTGGGCGCTATCNAACAAAATGAAATTCAATGGTGAAAAAAGTAAGGTTCTACATTTAGGCAAGAAAAACCAAATGTACAGGTATAGTATAGGGGGTACCTTGCTCAATAGTAGCAACTGTGAGAGGGATCACAAGAGTCCTAGTGGACAGTCATTTAAATATGAGCCAGCAGTGTGCTGCAGCTGCCAAAAAAGCCAACACAGTGCTAGGCTGCATTAACAGAGGGATAGAATCAAGATCACGCGAAGTATTAATACCACTCTACAATGCCTTGGTAAGGCCACACTTGGAATACTGCATCCAGTTTTGGTCACCACAATGTAAAAAAGATGCTGAGACTCTAGAAAGAGTACAGAGAAGAGTAACAAAGATGATTAGGGGACTGGAGGCTAAAACATATAAGGAAAGGTTGATGGAATTGGGTATGTCTAGTTTAATGAAGAGAAGGACGAGGGGGGACATGATAGCAGTGTTCCAATATCTCAGGGGCTGCCACAAAGAAGAGGGAGTCAAGTTATTTTCCAAAGCGCCTGAAGGCAGGACAAGAAGCAACGGATGGAAACTAATCAAGGAGAGAAGCAACCTAGAACTAAGGAGAAACTTCCTGACAGTTAGAACAATTAACCAGTGGAACAACCTGCCTCCAGAAGCGGTGAATGCTCCAACACTGGACATTTTTAAGAAGAATCTGGGCAGTCATTTGTCCGAAATGGTATAGGGTTACCTGCCTGAGCAGGGGGTTGGACTTGATGACCTCCAAGGTCCCTTCCAACTTTTTTATTTTTATTATTTTTATTTTTATTTTTATTTTTATTTTTATTTTTATTTTTATTTTTATTTTTATTTTTATTTTTATTATTATTATTATTAGGAAGGACAAGTGCTTCATCACTACAGATCAGGGCGGTAAGTTTGCCTTCAGCTACAAACTGTTGTAGACCTATTTTACATTTATGTTTACACATAAATCAATGAGCAAAAAGTTTATTTTGCCTTACAGCTTGGTTTTTTTGAGAAAAAAAATGTATTTCATTTAAGAGAAAAGTTGTAGAATTTTAATATCACCTGAGCTTGACTATTTCTATGCTGATAATTTAAAGCATAATTCAGCAGTCACTATGATGACGTATATAGGCTTCATAGTACCATGGCAATGATTGGTGTTGCTTGTTTATAAATTAATGAAGAATTAGATTTTGTAGCTGGATTATTTTAAAATTTTGTAGCTGGATTATTCTTTAAAACCATGGTCTATTCTTACCTTTACAAAGGTCTCTTCAGTCACACATAGGGGCACATTATAGTAATGCAATACACAAGAAGGTGGCTGGATGATGTTCTTGGATGCTTGGCCAGCACTTGTAAAACGATTGTTCTTGCTCATTGCAAAGTCTTTGTAACTGCTTGTCCCATCTTCCAGCTCAAATATTTGACTAGGGACAACTGAATGCTGCTTGGATACACTGCAATTAAAATGTAGACTTAAGAAAACTCCCTTCACATTCAAATAAGAAAATTTTACTTGATTAGTTTAATTATAGTCTAATATAATTTAATAGATAGATAATTGTTGTAGTAAAACATATTTTATCAAATTACAGGGGAAGGTCAATGAAATTATGATTATTATTACTCTGTTGTTTTGCACGTACACTGAGAGCTTTTGCACCAGAGACAAATTCCTTGTGTGTCTAATCACACTTGGCCAAATAAAGTATTCCTATTCCTATTCTAGTCTAATCCAGTTCATTCCATTCCATTATTCTACTCTACTCTATTTATTTATTTATATATTTATTTTTCATATTTTTAACCGCCCCTCAGAGAGGGACTCTGGACAGTGTACAATACAATGAATAAAATTAACATTAAAATCAGAATAATTTAAGATTAAAAAGTTTTAAAATTATAAAAATAACAGTATAAAACAGTGATGGCGAACCTTTTAGAGACCGAGTGCCCAAACTGCAACCCAAAACCCACTTATGCATCATCGGGTGCGGGTTGGGTGTGGCCCATTGGGTGGGCGTGGCTGCGGTGGTAACAGCAGACTGGGTGGAACTAAAAAGTTCAATCAATCAATTCCAACTTTGCAAGATTTTTTTTCCCCCGCAAGAAGTTGAAATTGACTGATTGATTGAACCTTTTTTTTTTGTACATGGCGGCGGAGGCCTAAAGCGAAAAGGTTTTATAAAACCCAGCTGAAGGCCTAGGACTGGGGTGATAGCGCGCATCCCCACAGAGAGGACTCTGAGTGCCGCCTCTGGCACCCGTGCCATAGGTTCGCCACCACTGGTATAAAATATCAAAAGGTGAAACATTCCACTGTGACAGGACGTCCACTGCATCACTCCACTCAGGATGAAGACATATAGCTGCATATCATCAGTATAGTGATGATACCTCATCTGGTGATAGATGATATCACCCAGCGTTTTTATGGAAGGAGCACCGACCTCTGTGGCACCCCACAAAGGAGGGCAGTGAGCTGGACCTCTCACTCCTTATTAACATTGATTGGGACCAGCTTTGGAGGAAGGAGGTGAATCAGCATAAAACTGCCATCCACTCCCAATTTCTTAAATTGCCCCAGAAGGATACCATGGACAATGGTATTAATAGCCAAAGACAGGTCAAGAAAAGCAAGGATGAGGCACCACCTCCATCAAGTTCCCACCAGAGATCATCAATGAGTGCAACCTATAAAGTTTCGGTGCCATATCTGAGCCTGAAACCTGACTAAAAAGGATCCAAAAAATCCATTCCTCCAGGATCCTCTGGAGTTGCAAATTAATGAAGAGTCAAATGACATTTTGTAAATGCATAAAAAGGGATTTTCTCCAAACTAAATTCAATTTTCTACATCTACATCATTACTTGACACATTTATCTTAAATTGGTATTGATATTAAAATAAAAATTGTGACGCACACCTACCAAACATTTAATCTCTTCCCAAATAATTTGACATTATTGAGATGTGTGACTGCTCTTTCAACAGCATACTCGTCACCCATTTCCACTAATGCAGTGCCTGGAATAGTCTTCATAAATTTCACCTGTAATATTTAAAATTATAAATAATTCAATTTAAAAGATAGGACATTTTTCAGTTTTAGCTGGAAGATACATAACAATGACTTGTCTTCAAAGAAATGTACTGTCCTTTTAAAAAGTCATACACAAGCCTTTTCCAGCAAATGGCTGCATTTGAACTTTTGGTAGTCAACTGAAGGCTACACCAAAAAACTGGGTGAGATCAATTAAAACAAAAGCTTCAACTTTAGTCTTAATGCAATTATTTCATTATATTATAATAAAATTGCAATTCAATGAACAGTATTCAGAGGCCACACTTCTGGCTTTGGTGGGGTAATTGTAATGCATTTTTGCTTTACAGTCACATTGCTAGACGTTTAATTTACCTTTTCGATATTTCCATATAAACAGAACAAGTTGAAGACTCTTGAGCAATTCATCTTTTGCTGGTGCAAACCACTGACCATGACAACAGATCCCGAGGGGTTTCCTCCATGCATGTAAGATGAGGAGGCTTGGGGAAGTGGATAAGCAACAAGCTCTGGAGTATCCCGAGATGCCATTCTATACCGACTTGGTAAAGGTAACAGAGGACCATGTGATCCTAAAGAAAAAAATACTCCCTAGTTAATAAGTTTAGAATATTTAAATAAACAATGGATCAATTAAATATACCATTACAAAATCACAGCAACATGTCTTATTTAGTGATGTTTCATTAATTAGTAAAACTCAGTTTTTAATAGTACAAGTAATCCTCAACTTATGACCACAATTGACCCAAAATCTGTTACTAAAGAAAACAGTTATTAAATGAGTTGCCCCCTTTTACCTTTTTTGCCAGTTGTTAAACAAATCACTACAGTTGTTAAGTGAATCATGAGGTTGTTAAGCGAATAAAGCTTCCCCGTAGATTCTGCTTGTTGGAAGCCATGTGGGAAGGTTACAAATGGTGATCACATGACCCCAGGACAATGCAACTGTCATAAATGCCAGGTCCAAATTTTAATCATGGGAATGCTGCAATAGTTGTAAGTGTGAAAACCAGTCATGTCACTTTTTTCAGTGCTACTGTAACTTCAAAAGTTCACTAAACGAATGGCTGTAAGTTGAGGATTACCTGTATACAGGTAGTCTGTGATTTACAACCATTCATTTAGTAATATTTGAAGTTACAATGGCATTGAAAAAAGTGACTTACGGCCAGTCCCTAATGGAATGTGTGGATGACCTTGGGGAACAAAGGGAAAAGATGCTATCTAGGAAACAATCAGACAAGAGAAGCAAGAGCCACTACCAGCTTAATGGCAGGAGAAAGAAATTTTCTCTGCCCTAATGATCCAGCATTTAAAAGTGGATGATAGGAAGTCTGTATCTTCAGATTTGCAAGATTCTGTTAATGTGGCCTTACAATAAAATAGAACTAGTCCCTCTAGTCATGTTTCCTGTCTGGTTTACCTGGGAAGCTGTCATCACATTTACAACTGTCCCAGTGTCCGATCTGGGTGCTTGGCAATTGGCATGCATTTACAACAGTTGCATTATCAGGGAATCACATTATTTGCAACCTTCTCAGCTGACATCAGACAAGCAAAGTAACTAAAAGAGTTACCATGTGGCAAGATGGGCGGCTAATAAATTTTACAATAAAGTCAATGCAGGAAGTCAAATTTGCTTTAACGACTGTATAACTCACTTAACAATTGAACTGCTTAACAATGAAAGTAGCAGACCACTGTTGGAGTCAAGGACTATTTGTAAAGCAAAACTTGCAGCTTTGATTTTATTCCTACAACTTTTTAAATACTCAAGAGTGAATACTAAATGAACAATGTTCCACTAAATTTTTAACTTTACTTTTAAATATTATAAAATAAAACTTGTGGCTTTGATTCCCAGAACCTTTTTAATATGCAACTACTGAATAATCTTGTTAAGTTCAAGATATGTTTCTAACGGAGTTAGAATTGGCAGTATCACTTGTAATGGAATGGCAGAACTTACCTAACCCTGGGTTATATAAACAGAGGCATACATTCAAGATCACGCAAAGTATTAGTACCGCTAATAAGACCTAGTAAGACTGCACCTGGAATACTGCAATCAATTTTGGTCACCATACTATAAAAAAGATGTTGAGATCTTGGAAAAAGTTCAGAGAAGAGCAACTAAGACGATCAAAGGCCTGGAGACTAAAACATATGAAGAACGGCTGCAGGACTTGAATTTGGCTAGTCTAAAGAAAAGAAGAAATAGGGGTGACATGATAGCAGTATTCCAGTATTTGAGGGGCTGCCACAAAAAAGAGGGGGTCAAACTATTATCAAAAGTACCAGAGGGCAAGACAAGAAACAATGATTGGAAACTGACCAAAGAGAGAAACAACCTGGAATTAAGGAGAAACTTCCTAACAGTAAGGACAATTAATCAGTGGAACAGCTTGCCGTCAGAAATCACTGGAGATTTTAAAGAAGAGACTGGACAGTCACTTGTCTGAAATGGTATAGGTTCTTCCTGCTTGAGCAGGAGGCTGGACTAGACCACCTCCAAGGTCCCTTCCAGCTCTATTCTATTCTATTCTAACTCGTGGGAGTGAATCTCGTACCTCGAACGAGATCACTCCCTTGCTCGTTAAGACGCGGCTCGTTAAGTGAATATGAGGTATCTCAGGGTGGGGAAGGCCATGGTGGGCCTAGTGATGGAACAGGCCCCCAAGGTCTTCCCGACCCACTAAGATACTTCCTGCTTCCCTCTCCCTTCCTGCCGCACCAGACTCACCTTGAAAAAAATCTGTCTCCTCTATGCCGCAGTTCCTGCTGCCTCCTGGATCTGAGGCTGGGAGATGCTTCCGCAGCTCTCCGACAGCCTTCTCCAGGCTGCTTCCGTCCAGAAATGGGACATCGGAAGACCACAGAAACATCCCCTGGCCTCAGATCCGGGTGACAGCGGCCCGGAAAAGGCCTCCGGTGCCTGAATCGGGCCGTGGAAGCGTTCCCTGGCTTCAATTCCATTCTCTGTTGCAGAGAACAGAGGCCTAAATTACCAAGAGATCTCGCCTCACTGATCTCGCATGATCTTGCATTACTTTAGGCCTCCATTCTCTGTGAATGCACTGAAGGCCTGGAGCAGCCAAGAAAGCAAAGGATCTCGATCTTCGCAAGGTGAGTATTGAAGGCCTAGTGCCTAGGGAGGCCCGGGTTGGAGTGGGGAGGGAGGGAATAACCAGGGTGAATAGTGCAATGCCACTGCAGTCACTCGTAAGGGCGAACGATTGCCATGGTGCTGCAATATTTGTAATTTCGGGACTTGCTCGTAAGCACTAGGGGGCACGTATCGTGTAACTTCAAACAAGTGTTAAATGAACGCTTGTAACTCGGGGATTACCTGTAATTTATAGATAAGAACATAAGGCAGGGAATTGTAACAAACTGAACAGCTGCTTTAACCTAAAAATAAAGATTATCCCTTCTACGTAGCAGTGAGAACAATTTCTTTCATATAGAAGACACAGATAATGAAAACAGGTGTGTTTTCAATATAAATCCCTAGCGATGTATGAATAATTTTTATGAAATTTATAAAAAAGGAACTTACCATAGCCATCATGTCTAAATGATGAGGGATGTTCTCCCAAAATAGCTTGCCTCTGTCGGCCTTTCCCTCTATCTAAAGAATAAGAGAGCATTGGTTTTTTTAAAATAAAAAACCCTCTCAAAATATTGGGATTTTATCAATTAAAACAATATATTTGTTGATTAAAACTTAGCAGCAACTCTGCTAGATCTGATCACATGTCCACCAGTCAAATATTATATTTCCAACAGTATGGTTAACCAGATATTTTTAAGGTTCTACATTTGGGTATTTTGGTCAGATAGTCATTTAGACTGACTTGTTCTAATACAAAAATACACCATAATTATTGTTAGGACACCAGAAATATAGTTGTTATTAAAATCACATC